TAGAGGAGATTTTCTACTCACTAGAGAGAGCTTTGCGAGAGAAATATATTATTGAGAGAATATTTGTGTAAGAGAGAAATTGGAAGAGATCATTTGTTAACTCTAATTTTTGTCTCATGGGAAGGGAGACTCGTATTTTGTCCATCTTATGTGTTTGCTTGCCACTGCAAAGTTTTGTTCCAATATTTTATCTTAACCCAAATGATTTTCTTCAGATGACTCTAATTTTTAATGTGACTAAGATCCTCCGACCTTTTTTTTACAATTCTTGATCTTAATGCAAAAGCTAATGAAAGTTGTTTTGAAGCCATCTTAGAAGTTAAGGGCGTTGCAATGAGACATTTTAAAATATATAGTATGATGGAAACATAACTCGAAGTTTAGTGGTATATAATTGAAACCACTCATATCCATGTTTATCTTTGTTTTGAAAACTTACTGTCCAACTCACCATCCACGTCACATTTCCATTTCTGTAACGTATAAGTTAACATAAGGGTATTTAAAAAAAAAACTAAAGGTTAAAGGTAGACTTGAAACTTTTAAAAGAATAAAGGCATAATTATAGTGAAGCCTACCCTAAAGTTCAAAAGATTTTTATATAATTTGTATAGGGAGTTTTAAGTGTAAATCATTTGGTTCGTTTCGATTAACCTAAAAGAACCTAACCATGTCGGTCCGTTACTAGATTGAATTTTATTAAAAGATTCGTAGAACCAGAAGTAACAAACTGAATAACACCAACTTTTGAATAAGTTGACTTACCTCTAAACTTATCCGCTTGTTGTATAGATTAAAAGTTTTAAATGTCAATATTAAATGAAGATATCCGATATCCGCTTGTTGTATAGATTAAAAGTTTTAAATGTCAATATTAAATGAAGATATCCGATCTCGATTTCATGCGAATGCTTTAGAACTTGATAAATTATTAAAGTTGATAAATATTTTTTAAATATATCATAAAAATATTTAATGTTAATAAATAATTCTTTAGCTCATAATTCTTTTTATATTTTGTCAATCTTTTATAACACAGTAGAAATGTCCATTGTTATAAAATGTCCATTCATTCCTTATAGTCAAATCCCTAAACTTTAACTCATCTCTTTGTTACAATTTTTGTAAAAGAAAATTTAAAAAAAAAGGGCAAAATATGACTTACCAGATTACATGGCTCCTCTTTTAAGTTCTTTTGGGATTCATTTTTAAATTCAACTTTCCTTCAATTTCACACTTAATCTCTTTAAAAATAATAATAATAATAAATGAAAATTATTAAAAATTTATACATGTAACATTGTGCATTATCTAATTTTTTTCTTCAAAGATAATAACCAAATACAAATAAAAAATAGACGACCAAATAGTACTTCCAATCCAGACGTGAAGATTACTCAAAAGGAAAGAAAATAATTTTAAAATTATAAAAAACAATTAATACTTCTAAATATTTATAGATCAAATTTCCACGACATATTCAAACATATATTTCATTTCACGTTTAAGATGGCAGAAAACAAGTATCAAATATTAGATTACCCAAGAGCTTAAAGCAGACGAGATACAGCTACATTTGAACATATAAATATTATATAATTAATGATACATATGGTAACGAGTGCTGAGATTTTTATATATTGATTATTGGTTATGGTTGGTTGAGCAACATTCTGAAGCTCCTAGTTGTAGAGGCCTTGGCCATGTGCGAACCTTGCATCTTCCTCAGTGAACACATGAGTCTCATTCTTCACCCTGCACCCCACAACACACAAATAACCATCCAAAACTCGATGCTCAAGATACAATCTAGCGGGGAAGCTAAGGTGCTCTTTGATAACTATTTCGTTTTGTTTTCAAAAAATCAATGCTCATTCAATCTAGTAGAGAACTTACGTTGTACGAATAGTCTTGTTTATGACCGTTGATGATACGATGAATGCACCATCCAAGTA